AATATTCTGAGAAGCAGCAACAGTAATTCTTTCTTTCTTTCTTTCTTTCTTTCTTTCTTTCTTTCTTTCTTTCTTTCTTTCTTTCTTTCTTTCTTTCTTTCTTTCACCAGTTATTCCAAAACATTTCTACTGAATTCAGTGAAAATATTACCTCAGAAGATATTTTTAAACTTGAAATTACTGGTTTTATTACTTTGTTCTATTGCACATGAATTCCTTACCCATCACCCAAATTAATAATAAAAAACCCCATACACAACGGATCATCTTAAAAATTTGCTCAAACCAGAAAAATAAAAAAGAAAGCAAACTTGACACAGAAAAAAAAATATATCTCAGTTTCCTAGGAGATCCCCACAGGTAATAACATATGTATTCACATTAAACATTATTGAGGCTTTGCAGATATACTCAATCAAAAACCCAGGTCTTCCTATATACAATGAAGGATTTAAAATAAAATAAAAAGGAATTTAACAATGTGCACAGGAATTTCAGAAATTTTCATGTGTTTCATTCTCCTCCTGGAGCTAACTATGCGATGGTACAATTCAAAATTTAATTCCTGGTTTTTAGGATTTAGATAATCAAAGGACAGAAGAGAAAGTGAAAGGCACACATGTGTCAAACATAGTTAGCTGAAATAACATTTTATGCTGTTATTTGTTTTTACAGTCATAATGGACTTTTACATGCTAAAGGAATAATGCCTTTATTTGTACACTAATATGTACGATAATATCACTTTTTTCATTTGCACTTCTAAACTTTTGAGGCCTTACAGACTGAGCAGTCTTGTTGCTCTATAAAGGATACTTTCGTCTCAGGTTTTCACATACCTGAACATAAATTAGGCTTTGATATGTCATGTTCTACCATATGAGACCCATTTGTTTCCAAATAGCAGACCAACACAGTTATCCCCAAAAGTAACAGTTTATAATATTTTCTTTCTAAGTAAGTTCTATTTTTTGGGGGGGGTGGGTGAGGAGTCTTTAAGTTCAACATGCACAAAATTGCAGGGTTTACTGATTTCTCTTGCTCGAATTTTACTAAATAGTAATTTATCAGATGACTAATAAGATTACAAAATTCCTCTAGAATTACACAGGAAGCAAAAAAAACCCCAAGGTTTTCTACTACAATTTTCTATTGAGAAGGTACTTTATTAGATTTCAACTAATAAGGTATTTTCTCAATACACTGATTTCAATGGGACTGTTGCTCTGGCCATCTGAAATTAGTTCCTTACAGAACAGGCACAATATATATCTATATATATATTTATGCAAACGGTTTGGGTCATATGAAACAGAAGCAATCTTAAACGGAACTAGCATCGGTTAATTTTAGCAAAAGAGAGATATATGAGAATTTAAGTAACAAAAAGTGCTCACTTGGTGTACAAAGACATCAACAGGAGACTCCAAAGGGCTTCCCTCGCGGTTGAGCATGGAAATAAATCCGAATCCCATTCTCACATTAAACCACTTGCAATGGCCTGTTCCGTGCAAAACCTGGGATTCCTCCTCCTCCTCTTCTTCTTCCTCTTCTTGTTCCGGTAATTTCCCGGGTTCATCTCCACTTTTACGCGCCCCCGCTGATTTGGAGAGAGGTGGCGGAAAAAAAAGCACAAGAAAACTACGTAAATATACACGCGCGCGTGCACACACACACACACCCTCTCTCTTACACACAAGCCGGGAATTAAATTCCAACAACATCTCCTTGGCGGCAGCACAAGAGCGATTGCTACAGAAAAGGACGGAAAGCACACATACACGCACGTTCAACGTTACGAAATCGAGCTATTTTCCCTTCCCTTCCGACCCACAAATTTTGTTTTCAAAGCGCACCAACATTTCAATCACACCCACGCCCGGATCTTGTAGGAGGAAATAAACTGAGTTTCGAAAGAAATAATAATAATAATAATGCAACGCTGAAGGGCATCTCCGAGGGGGAAAGGCAGCATCTGCTGTGACTCAGGCTCTATTTTTCATACACTCCCCGCCACTCGCACACACAGGCTCGCACACACAGTAGTAGCACTAGCAGCGGCAGCGGCAGTCCAGCCCACCCCACGTTGTTCTGTACATACGTGCGATCCTGCCCTTTAACTCCATCTTTCAGCCACATAAACCACCCCAGAAAACGATACTTTACTTGGATACTGCTGGTTGAGCACCGATCCCATCCCTCCCCAGAGGAATTCGCAGGCGAATGACTCTCGGCTGGCGAGGGAGGGAGGGAGGGAGCGAGGAGGGGCGGGGAGGGAGGGGGGCGACCGAGCCGAGGGAAGAAGGCGATTGCACAACCGCTTGGAACAGCCCATCCAGCGGCCGCGAGCGCCGGGTGTTATTTTCCAACTGGGCTCGTTTCTCTCATTTCCCTCCCCTTTCTTGTACGCTGGGACGACTCTTACTACAGCCCAATGGAGCGGCTCTGTATGTGTGTGGCGGGGGGGGGGGCAGGTGTATAAAACTTTCCCCTTCCCTTTCTGCCTTCAGCGACTGCTTGCTCAATCACACAGGAACAATGGTCCCTCCGAAGGCTTTTCAACTCGGGTGAATCGGCGGTGGGCGGCGCAGAGCACCACAGAGGAGACCTCGGCCACAATAGGATTCTCTCTCCCCCCTCTCACCTCCCATTTCGTGGCCGTTGTTTTGTCATGTTTTTCCTTTAAAACCCGAGCTGTCCTTTAAATCGCCCTTTCCTTTAAAACGAAAGTTAAAGGGCCCTTTCTTTTTTTTTAAAAAAAAAAGGGGGGGGGGACGGGACGGAGAAGGAAAACGAAGCGATGTTTCAAAGGAGAAGGGGGAGAAAAAAACAACCCAGGAAAAAGAAGGGGGGGGATAACCTTCGGCCATGTTGCTTTACAGGCCTTCTGTTTCAAAGTAGCGAGGCGGAAAAGTACACCCCACTCCCCCCCTTTCCTGGTCGGGAGAAGCGGTCTCCGGAATTAGCTGAACATCTTGATTTTGAGCGGTTTCTCCTGCTTTGGCTGTCTAGAGGTTTCTGCTCTCTTGTGTTTTTGGGGGGCTTGCGGCTGCCCCGCCCCCACCGCCCGGGCTATGAGCCGTCCATGCTCTGGCTGGGATTCTGGTCCCCCGTTGCACGTGACTCGTCCAATTACATGCCTTCTTACTACTAATTTCACCTCGGGTCTTCCAAGTTGAGGGGATTTTGGGGAAGGGGGGGGGCGAAGTTGACAAAAAAAAGAAGGAAGGAATAGCCAATCGGTGCTTCCAACGGCCCTGACAGGCCCGGAATAATTTATGAAACCAACAACGAAATTTGAAAATCCGCTCCCCGTGCCACGAGTTGGCACGTTTCTCTACGTAGATCCGTCTGACGCTCGTGAAGGGTGGGGAAATTCTTTGTCGGGACGCAAAGGCCGCCGGCCTGCCTCGCGCGAGCCCAGTGTAGCGCGCTCTCTCTCTCCGGAGCCAAAGCTTGTTGTTGTTTTGAGGACACGCGTGCAAAAGAAATCGCCCTTCGCTCCGCGCGCTTTCGTAACGGCGGCGGAACCCCGGGAAGTGGGAAGCGCCGCCGAAGCGGATTCACAATCGGGCGATAAAGAGCTTTTTAAAAACCTAAACGGCACTCGGTATTTTTGTTTTAATTTAACTTCGGGATCGTTTCTGCATTTTACATTGATTGGTTTGGGAGATGGGCTTTGGATCTTTGTGTGAGCTTGCTGGCCGTGTCCCGTTTGGAATCGGTGACGGGAAGAAATAGGGGGCGCAGTCTGGCTTCTTCCTGTGCACACATCTACCTGGAAGTAAGCCCCCTTCCTTGCCACTGACCGCGCGCAGAATTTGGGCTGAGGAGGCCTGCGCTCATCCCCTAAGTAAATCTATCTGAACTTCATGGATCTTGCTGCCCTGTAAGTGTATATGTGTCGTATATAGAATTGGTAATGAATCCATATCACTAAGATCGAGTCCACTCCCTTGCTCGGTGCAGGAATCCAAATTAAATCATCTCAGACGAACGGTCGGCGAGCCTTGTTGGCGACACATCCCGTGAATAAGAACCCTCTGTTTAATTATTAGGGTCCCTCCCCCCTCCCAGTTTAATTCGGAATTCCCTTTCCTGAAATGTAGATCAATTATTTGGGGTCCCACTCTCTTTAATAGCCATCTTCCGTCTGAATCACATTGCAGTGTTTGCCATTTTATTCCCTTCTCGGTCGTATGTATGGAAGGGAAAGGGAAAAAAATATATCTGTGGAATATCATCAGAGAATAATAAATCATAGCTCTGGAGCCTCTTTTGATAACAGGATTTACATCATTGAAACACACCAACCGTTCGAACGATAAACGAGCATTAAAACACGCGTGGCATACTTTGCACAACTCATATTCTGAAGCTGCTTATTATGGTCCTGCCTTGTTGTAGGTTCGGTCAATTAAGCCTGTTCGGAACCAAAGTCGCCTTTGCCGGGTCTGTAAGTCGTCCATTAGGGAAGCCCCACCGGAAACGCGGTGTCATCTCAATTCGGTTCAGGATGCGAGGCAGTCAAGCGTTTCAAAGCATTTAGGGAAGCGGTACGGAGGGGGGTGTTGGTTGGTGATGGAGGGAGCGGGATGGCGCTTTCGCAGTTTCCACCGCCGTCTCGTTCCGGGGGAGGGGATGTGATTGATGACTTCCTAAATAAGAGGTCAGTTTGCAAGCTCAGCATCCAAGGCGAACCTCCCTGGGCAACCGATCGTTCTCCAGGAGGAGGGAGCGGGAGACTGGAAAGGCGAAATGAGAATTTGCCGGCGAAGAGGAAGCACCGGAGTGTCCGGCAGGAGGAGAGGCGGAAAACAAGACTGGAGGGAAAAATGCTGGGTTAGAAATTGCCGTTGAAACTGGACCCCTCCTAGACAGCCGACAGCCGTTCGGAGTGTTTATCCAGTCCAGGCTTTACCTGCGAGTCCCTTCGCCCTACAGTGGAATTGACATTTCAATAGACGAATTACATGGGGGAGAAACAGTCTATCTCCCCCAAAAGCTCCAAATTCATCACCAGAATCTCAGGGCAACACATGGGCGAAGAAGGGGTGGGGGGATCGGGCGGAGTGGCATTAATGACAAGTGCACCGCCTCTGATGACGGTCAGACGCTCCCGGGAATGCTGGCAGTCCAGCCTTGGGCGTGTTCACCTCGAAGGCAGCCCAGCGAGTCTTACTTTCCCATGCGAGCTGTCCCCGTCCTTTTCCCTGCGCCGAAATGGCCTCCGATCCTTTGAAGACGCAACAACGGACCTCCTTCGAAGACCGCTTCCTTATAGGAGTCCCGCTGATTGGCATGGTGCTCGGGATCGCTCGCCTTCTACCGCCCAGCTGCGTACGCACTTATTTTAAAAAAAATAGCATGTGTATGGTATTCCACTAGAATGGGCACGAACAGGATTAATCCCGAAATTATCAGTTTCGGCCACCCTTGAAAATACCCACTGCCCGTTTCTCAAGCCAGATCAACATTTGAAAGGTCCAGTCAGATTCTGCCACTCGCTTCCCGTCCCTCTCGCCGTGCTCTAATTTGCCCTGAATGTTCGGGTTTTGTTTTTTTTCACCAACGAAATCACAAGGTTGTCCGTTGTTGGTTTAAACCTGGCGACAGGCAGTCTGAACAAACAGTGAAAGGCCCTCCAGACTAACCAAAGGGGCCTATTTACTCCCGGGTTACTGCGTAAGAGTTTGTTGCAGGGAGAGGAAAAGGCGCACATTTCTTTTCCTAACGCCCCGTTCTAAGTGGACAAGGTACCTTTCCTGCCATGAGAACATCTCCACGCCTTAATTCGCAGCGCTGTTCTCGTTTTCCGGGTGGAAGGAGGGCTGAAGTTCTTTAAGGCGGCATTCCTCTGGCAGCTTCAACCACCAGCTCCCCTTCGGTGATTTTGGTGCTGGGTTGCCTTGCTCAGCTTTCGCCCCTCCTCCTCCCCCGCCCTCATCGCTTCCTCTCCGGCGCAGCTTTTCACGCAACCGAATAGCACGCAGGAAAGTAGGAGCGGGAAGAGCTAAACGATCCTGAGGCTCGGGACTCAGGTCTCTCAGCCCAGCTTCGGGAACGTTTGCTTAAGAAATAAGTGCTCTCGGAATTCAACGGGGACTTCCATTCAAACCAGCTCGAAAAGAAGCGAATTTTTCATTCGAAGGAAGAAAGAGCGCGGCTTTCCCAAGAGTTTAAAGGTTTGTTGAGGCTGGAGAGGAGCAAGAGGAAAATCTAAAAAGATGAGGGACCAAAAACCTAAAACGTTTTTACTTACCAGAAACAGAGGACCGAGGTGGCTAACTAAACGTCTTCGTATTACCAGGGGTAATGGTGAAACTACATAAGAAGAACGTCTGCGCTCTTCTTTGCCAGTGAGAATAAAGAGCCTTCAAAGGATTTGGGAGAGCTAAAAAATTAACCGGCTGATGGAACATACTTTGGGGGATGTATTCCATCGAAATACGGGACTGTTTGTTGCTGCACCTAGGGCAGTTTGGGCTTCTTTTCGGTTTAAGGAACCATGGCTGCCTGAACCTTACCCAACGAAGAAAGGAGGCACGCCTGATATTATTTAGCTTCCATCTTTTGAGAACGAAGAGAGAATCTGCCTTAAACACCTTCCCCATGTAAAGTTTGACTCCTCATGTTGGGGGCGGCTGCATGCCTGGGTGCCTCTTCGAGGTTTTGCCTTATCCATTCACCTAGTGTGGTAATCAAGTTCTGCGCACGACTTTGTGCACATTTTCCCTCGACCTCCAAAAGCCCCGAGACAACGTGAGAAAAGCATCCTTATCATAACACAAAGTTCATCATTCCTTAGCAACTG